CTAACCTTTTGATTAAAAAGGTCAATCCAAATACCAAGTTTTATTATTTTAATTTAAAAAGCACAGATTTGGTTCATTTGATTCCATTTTTGAACAATATGACAATGTTTACATGGGAAAATTGAATATAACCCTTACGTATAAGCTGTAACTTATTTATAAAAAATTAAATTCTTACAGTAATTTATTTATAATATTACACATTTTAGAGATTTTGGTTTTAGTTATGATGATAAATGAAATAATATTAACTTCTGTAATCAAAAATGTATATTACAGAAAAATAAATGCTTTTGATTCATACAACTAATTGATTTTTATTTTTATCACAGAGGTACAAAAAATTTTCAATTGTACAATAAGAAGGAAAGTTTGTCTTTTATATTAAATAAAAATTATGTAATTGATACACAGTTCTAATATTTTAACATTTGATGTAGCATACGTGTAAACAAATATGATATGGCTTGCAAAATATGTATTTTCAAAAGCAATATTGTTAAATGCATTAATGATGATAATAAATTCATTTTGTGATTTACTGATATTAATGGTATTTTGAAGAAATTTGTAAAATAGTATAAAACTTTTTTTATAAATTTCCACAACAGTAACTAGATAACTGCAACATGCTTCTCAAACAACACATTAATGTACAAGTTATAAATAAATAAATTTTAGAAAGCATTTATTCACAATATAATAATTGAATAGGTGGTCATATAAACATCTTAATAATATAACTATACAAGAAATAAATCTGGACAGATTCAAGATAAGATAATTCAAATGACAGTTGAAAATTCAAACTATAAAACTGCAAAATAATAAACCTATTATATAATAGCTGTTATCTCCAAATGTAATAATAAAACATCAACAAAATTTTAAATTAAAGTAAAAATTATTTATTTAATATAATATTAATGTAAATACAATATTATAAAATTCCATAAAGCAAGTGATTCTAGCATCTTAATGCAGTCCTAAGAATCTGTTGCTTCCTTTAAATTTTTCAATAATTTATCATTTTCTTTTCGTCTCTACTATTTTGCTAATCCCAGAAATTCCTTAAAACCAGAATTTCTGGGATTGTTTAATGCAGCATAAAACTAGAATTTATGAAACTGTCTATATCGGCAATTTGCAAATTATGGCACTTTGAGCAATTTTAATGGCACAGCAGATTCTGGGCCCTTAGCATAGAAAAATGAAAAAAAATTGAGCAGTGAAAAATAAATATATTAAATATTACATTTGTAATTTACTGATAATTCAGAAAAAAAAAAAAAGGAATATATGGCAAAAATTAATTTTTGCCATATATTCCTTTACTAGAGGACTTTGAAAAGTTCCACTTGTAAACACAAGATTCACTAGAGTTCAACACAATCACCTACAAATCAAGTATCAATTTTTATAAAATTCCATACATTCATTATATGCAAAACAGGCATGCAAAATACAATAAAAGCATAATTTATAAAGATACATTTCAAGACCAATACATTATTCTTTCATACATGTTTAGTACTGTAACAATTAAAAAATATACCAGATCAAAAATAATGATAAAAAATAATGATTTTGCATTAAATTTGTGATTAAATAATAAAAATATGTAATCCATACTCTTTTCTTCTAAATTATATACTTTTCTGCAGGAGAGTTTGTTCTATTATTTCATTTTATGAGTTGTTTTTAATTTATTCCTACTATTTTAGAAATGGTTGTTAGATCAGGTTATTCTACATCAAAATAGAAATTAAGATTCAAGAATAGTAGTAGAAATATTTTACAAAATAAAACTGGTATGATGAATCACTATTATTTTACTTTGGCATAGAGCAATCAAAAGGTTATATTTGTATCAGTTCTTAAGCTACTCTTAATAATAGCTTAGAACTATGATATAGACCATAGATTAATAACTATTTATAAATTGCAAAATTGCAATAAGTGAAATTTTCATTAAAAAAATTAAATTTTTATATTGCAAATTTTAAGTACTAAATATTATACACACATTATTTGTAAGATTGTGAGCATAAACAAGAAAACTTTGTAAACTAGTAAAAGAAGAGGAAACATAAATTTTAAATATTCTCTAGAAATGGACAAGCTTTGACAGAACAGAAATAATAACTAACATTTAATATTACAATTTAAAATATACCAACATCAAATTTTTAAAGTCTATTTGTTATATCAAACATAAAAATGATATGATTCATTGCATAATATAATTTATTTTTGGTTATTGATAGTTCTTTTATAAGTAACAGCAAGTTTTAATTTAAGACAGGAATTCCATCTGTAGTGAGTTACTTTTTACATTAGATTAGATTGTTAATGTCTCCAAACATCTCAATTCAACATGGATTGCAATATAACTATTACTAATAAGCAACACTAAAAGTAAGCTATTAAAAAAGTTTTTTAAATCAACTAAAAAACACTTTATTCAGAGGTGGATTTAATGGCAGGTGCACTGGGCCCCAACTTCTGAAGGGCTCCACAAAACCCGAACTTTACACTTTTTTATAATGACACCAAGTTTGGTTTAATATGTGCAATTTTAATTTCATGTAAGTTTACAATCAGTGGTAAAATTTGAGTATGATATACAATATATTATATTCAAATTTTATTGGAAATAAAACATTAATAGTACATAATGTTTGTTGAATTTTTCCGTCTGATGGCTGGATTATTATTAGTTGTCTTTATTTTATTGGAAATAAAACATTAATAGTACATAATGTTTGTTGAATTTTTCCGTCTGATGGCTGGATTATTATTAGTTGTCTTTATTTTACATAATGTTTATTGTACATAATGTTTTTTATTTATTTAAAAATATGGTTAACATGTATTTTTATCTTCCCTGTCTCTCTTTTTTAAAGGACCCAATATTTTCTTCTGTGCCTGGGGTCTCAACTGATCTTAATCCACCTCTATGCAGCATGAAGACAACCAAGTCACTTTCTGTCATAACTATGGTTCAATATATCAGTTTCTCAGATGTCAGATCTGGTGATCATGGTAGTCACACAACTGTACCTCATGTTTGAAGCATTAGAAGACTTGCATAAAAAAATATAATAATTTTCTTTTGAGTCTATTTTTCTAATATGACTACAAGACACGGCAGATATTTTGAAAAATTTTATCAATGTTTTATTGTAAAAGTGCTGAATCCTACAATAAAAGGTCAGCGTTTGATAATTTTTTAACTTGTGTAATTTTTTAATATTCTATGTTTGCTGTTTTATTGAAGATTTAGTTATAACTTCAAGCCAGTTTTTTACTGTTACTCCTGAGTTGGACTATAAAAAGGTTTAACGAATAGACTCAAAAGAAAATTATTATATTTTTTATGTAATTCTTCTGATGCTTCAAATGAAGATAATCCTGGGTTATGTTGTTTATGCAAATAGCTAGATTGTTTATGTACCCCATGTCCAATCCAGTGACCTGAGTATTCCCTATCCAATCAATCATGTACTGCACAGGAGAGAAGAATTGCATCAGTGCTTCATTATGCTGGAACAATAGGCCATGTTTTGCCAATAAAGGTATGTCATTGAGGAAATCAGTTAGTACATCATGGAGAAATACCAAGATGAATGTCCCATCAAATCAGATATGGTTCGATAGTGCAATTGTTCAGTATCCTGGACCACACATTTACAGACTGGTGAACCTGATGCAATCTGCAGGTAGATTGTAGGAGGATTGGACTCTGACCACACATGGCTGTTGTGACTTCAAAGACTATAGAAAAGCAACTTGGTTGCTTGTCTTCTTGCTGCATTCACTTTTGTGGACAACACAATGCTGGATTGTATACGGTATGCCATTCTATGGTGTGCGCATGCATGTCTCAATACGCGCGGTAGTCATTTTGAGTATCTTCTTATGTAAGCATAATGTTATATGCAAGTACTAATGTTCATGTTTCCAATAAAGCTTATTGCCCATGCAACAGATGTGATGTCAGAACTTTTCCTTTTGCATTTTTCTCNACACATGATCAGAATAAATGGTGGTTTCAAAAAATAATTTTTGGACAGACTGTGTCTTTTGTGATTAAAATAAATTTTCATCCGGCGAAATTCTACAAACAAAACTTTTTTAGAAGTAATTCGTCACCAGAGGGATAAGGCCAAAATTTACATTTAACAGCACATTTATCAAATGAATATAAGGACTGAAATTCCCTAACTGGAAAGGATGCAAGTTCAAGACGTCTGTAAGGCCACCAGTTCCAATTTTTTACTTTTAATGTTTTAATTGGATATTTTTGTGTTTTTTAAAGAATGTTTTAGCCTGACGACCTAGTAGCCTACAAAGAAAGGTCGGGTTGTCAATGGTGTTCTGGAACACATAATCAGAATAAATGGTGGTTTCAAAAAATAATTTTTGGACAGACTGTCTTTTGTGATTAAAATAAATTTTCATCCGGCGAAATTCTACAAACTATTAAATCAGATTTAAATTTGGATTTAAATGTTATATTTGATATAAAAAAACTTCCAACAGATTTATTCATTGTATACAAAACTTCTTTCATACTAGTGTATGTACTGTACATACAAACACACATGCACGAAAAATGTAATTATTTTTCTTCTTAATTATTAGAGAAAAAAAATTTTTTTAAATATTAATTTTTGGTGTTTCATTATTCATGTTTCAGAGTAATTAAAATTTTAAAAATTTGAAGACTATCAAAAAATAACATTTATACATCGTTAATGAATAAATTTAATTGAAAAATTTATCAAATCTTAAAAAATAATATAAACAAAATATTTTATAAATATAAATTAAAAAAGTTGAAAATCAGTCTAAATATGGAGGAAACTCATAAACAAATCATATTTCAAGATTTCTTAGATTATATTTCAGTTTCTTCTCAACTAAATTAAAAAGTAATTATAATCCAAGCAAATTTATATTTTTAATTAAATAAATAAAAAAATTTGATGTCTTACCTTACTTGGTATGCAGGCAGCTAGAAATCCAAAGACGATAAGAACTAACAGAGCAACTAACAGCATTCCACTACACATAGTAAAGTCCCACTAGTGAAAAACATTTTACAAAAAGCATTTTATAAATTAATTTTAAAAATTTTATTCAAATTTTTAATTTAAAAATTACACTTTGTCAATCCAGCAAAAATTTAATATAATAAAAACATTTCCGATTGTTTTAAACTATCATCAGTTACAGAAAAATAGAACATTAAAAACAGAACATAAAATGATTATGGAATAAATATAAAAATTAACGGAAGATGTCCTTGTGGACTAAATATGGATAAATAAAATATCATAAATAAGGAAAAGTATAAATACAATAATATCGCCTTACTACTATTAATTATTGTAAAATGATCTCCAAGTGGTAGATAATGCATCCGCATCCCTGTGGTTTATAAAACCAGTTCTCAAGTGTGCCTTATATATTTCCAATTTCTCAAGCTGTTTCACTATGTGCCTATTCGTCGTTGTTTTGATAATAGCTACCTGATCCCATTGGACATCAACATCTTGTTGTCTTGCATATGTCACTAGTACAGTGCTGTCAAAATTCTTATTGATTGTATACTTGTGTTTTTTGGGCCTTTGTTTTAAATTGAGCATAGTTGCACCCATATAAACAAGGTTGGAATCGAACTGCTGGTTGTGTAAAGGTACCGAATAAACACCTGTCCTTGAATTCTGATCCTTCTTCATTTTATAATTCCTTAAAAGCCTGAAAACAGTGGGATTACATTGGTATACAATATGAAGATTATTAGCCTTAGCAATATTTCTATGTATTTTGTTTAAAAATGGTATGTAATTTAGCACCATTCCTTTCGTCTGGTGCACTCTAAGAGAATGCCATGTTGTGATTTAGAAGGATGTAATAAGTCTCTATTTCACCTCTCTGGTATCCTTGTTGCTCGGCTATCCTAAGAATGTAATGCAACTCCTTTGTGATGTCATGAATGCTCGTGCAATGTGTATAAGCATGTTTAATCCAAGCTTTGAAATATGCCAATTTAATGTGTCTGGGATCGATGGATTGATGTGGGATAATAATGGGCTGAAAGAAGGGTTTATGGTATATGTCAGATCTCCCTTTGCTTGCAAGTGATGAAATGTCAAGGAAGTTAACCTTAGTATCGTTCTTTTGGTCAATATGTAGTGTTAAGCCGTAAGGGTTATATTTGATCATGTTTAAAAAGCTTTGCAAGTTAGGCTCTCTTTGCCACAATATGAAAATGTCATCCATGTACCTACCCTACAAAACAATCTGTTGTTGAAATTTAGGTAGGATGGTTTATTTGAGTTGATGTAATACTAATTTGCAAAGGATTGCAGACAGGACTGCCCATAGGTATGCCTCTCTCTTTCAAGAATATCTTTCCTTCAAACTCAAAGAAAGATGTATAACAAAACAAATGCGCAAGTTCTAGGATACGAGCATGGTGACATGGCACATTATATACATTGGTAAATAAAAAATTCCCTTAAAGCACAAAAGCAAGGAGGTAATTTTATTGAAGGATGTAAGGATTTGTAGTCCAATACAATCATATACTCATTGTCTGTAAGAGAAATGTTCCTGAGAGACTCCAGAAGCTGCAGTGAGTTTGTAATAGAAAATGGATGTCATTGATCCCTAGCACGGAAAAAATTGACCAGTTGCTTTTCAATCAAGAATGTTGGGGAGCTACACTTTTCAATCACTGGACGTATTTGGTTTCCCAGTTTATGGGTCTTGGCAAATGCGAATATTCTAGGTGTTCTTGGAGTGAGGATCATTGAGTTTTGCATATGCAAAAATATACAACAAAGAGTTAAGAGATTTACAACAAATATACAACAGAGATTTACAACAAATATACAACAAAGAGTTAAGAGATTCACCTCCACTGCTTTAGCATGAAGCAGTGGAGGTGAATCTCTTAACTCTTTGTTGTATATTTGTTGTAAATCTCTGTTGTATATTTGTTGTAAATCTCTTAACTCTTTGTTGTAAAGCATCCAAAAAATTTACAGGTGCCGGTTGGCATTCGGTGGTTGTATTATACTCTTTCAACTTGCCATTTCAGAAATACCACATCCTTTGACTTATCTGCCATCATGAGCACAATGTTATTCTGCTGTAACCATTGGCATGATTTTTTTTTACAGCAGAATAATATTGTATACAAGGCACACTTGAAAACTGGTTGTATAAACCACAGGGATGCAGATGCATTATCTACCACTTGGAGATCATTTTACAATAATTAATAATACTAAGGCAATGTTATATATTGTATTTATACTTTTTCCTTATTTATGATATTTTATTTATCCATATTTAGTCTGCAAGGACATCTTCCGTTAATTTTTATATTTATTCCATAATCATTTTATGTTCTATTTTNTTATTGAATCTTTTATTTTGAGGTCACATGATGACATCAGAATTTCAGGGTCTCTTTTGGTAACTAGTCCGCCCCTGGTCGGAGTCAGATGGTAAGGAAAAGTCGGAGTCGGTAGATTTTTACGCGACTCTACAGCTCTGGCAGGGCTGTGGAGTCGGAGTCGGATTGGTAAGGAAAAGTCGGAGTCGGTAGATTTTTACGCGACTCCACAGCCCTGCTAATAATATTCTGAAGAATTTCATTCTGATTAACTGAATCCTAGTTTTTTTTTCTTTTCTGGTTTGTGATTCATAGATTAGAACTGAAACAAAAACACTATACAGCAACTGCTTACACAAATGGATATTTCTCAAAACCAAAATAGTTCAGATAGTTCTGTAAAATAAAGAAGTGTAACTACTATTAAGCACTGTTAAACAATGTTTAAAGACCCACAACAGAGGTCCAGACCAGGCCCCAAGGCACTGTTTCTTTAGAGCAGATTTAAAAATGATAATTTGAAAATGTTTAAATTCCTGTATCATCATGAATGAGGGAATAGGAGGGGCCCTTTAAATGCTTAAGTAAAATATTAATATATTAAGGGAACCTATAGAAAAAATTTTTAGTTATGATAAGTCAAACATTTTATCAGTGGCATAAGATTATATTTTTCAGTAAATAAAAAATTGACTTTAAATAGACTAGAGATTTAGAAATTTAATACTATAAAATCAGTTTATAAACAAAATCAATAATTTCAATGTTTATTGGTTCAGAATTAAGTTAATCCTTTTTTTTAAATGCACTAAAAAGTATTGCAGGTCCATCCTGCAAGAGCTCTTTTGGAAATGCACCACACTTGCCATATTAGCAATGTAACAATCAAAATTATAAGAAATTATCTGCTAGATCAGTGTTTCTCAACCTCTAACGAATCATCGCCCCCCTTCAATAAAACCATTACATAGTATCGCCCCCTTCACTTCAAAATTCCGATACCGAGGGCCAGGGCTAACGCCAAATTCGTACTGCATTGAATAGACTAGTGACTAGTATAATGTTATTTGTTTAATTATTGTACGATATAACGAATAAAATATCTAATTAATCTTAATGTTTTACTATATCGCCCAGAAAATTGTTTTTTGCCCCCCAAAATATAAATTGTTACAAATCACCCCCTCAACATGGAAAAATGACCACATAGGGGCGATATCGCCCCCGTTGAGAAACACTGTGCTAGATAGTAAATTAAATCTGCACAGTGAGATAGAAAACACTATCTCAAGAATTCACTAATTTCTAACTCTTCATAATCTAGAATTTAGAGGAAAAAGATATAAAATTTAAAATACTGTACTTCAAAAAATTTCACATTCAGGTAATCTCATTTATGTAGTATGTACAGATAAGCAAGTAATGAATAAGTATAGTGTATTTCAAATATATGTTTGGGTGTACTGTAGAAACACGTGGTTTAGATGCACCAATTTTTGTTTTCTTTTTTTCTTTTTTTATTTATTTCCTCCATTCACTAAATTTAAACCCCCATTTAACTTGATTCTATGTAAATATAAAAGATTCAAATATTTCTTTTGTATTTTTTTAAATTAATTCTTTTAAAAGTTTTGTTATTTTATACAGTACTTTTGATTTGAAGGGCTATACTTTTCCCAGGCAGCATTATTTTTAGAAATTGAAAAATGAATATGAAAAACCAACTAATAAGATGAGTAAGCTAAAATTAGTTAAATAAATGATTACAAAAATTTAAGATTAATTCAGTTTTATTCAAAAAAAAAAAAAAAAACCAAAATTCTTCATTTCATTACATATAAACATTACTACTTTTTTTACAAATTAATGATATGCACAAATATAGTAAGTCATATACTGAATTATTTTGATTTCCAAAAAGTCAAATAATATGTTCAATGCCATACTGTATATTGACTGTATTTCATTTCAATTTAATAAACTTATTAAAATAACAATAAAAATAGCCTTTTTCAAAGAATTATTTGATTCATAAGATTACAGTTTCAAATTAAAAGTTCTTAACATGTTCATTATTAGTTAAAAATAGATGGTTTACAAATTTACATCAACTTTATTTTAAAAATTTGAAAACAATGACAATCATNTTTATTCCATAATCATTTTATGTTCTATTTTTAATGTTCTATTTTTCTGTAACTGATGAAGATCGTTTAAAATGATTTAATATAATAAAAACGTTTTCAATTTTTGCTGGATTGACAAAGATGTAGTTTTTAACTTATCATTTATCCAGTATATAGTTTATTACATACAAATTTTTAATAGTAACTTACCTTAGTTTGAAAAGCAAAAAATGTTAGACCAAGACATATAACCTGAAAATATATTGGATGTAAATATTGATATATAATTTTAATCATAACTGTGCTCTATATATAAACTAAGTACATTTATGATTAAAAAATTTCATTCCTGGAACACATGCATAAGTAGAAATTTGTGTAAATTAGGCCCAACTGTTCAATAACTGGAAAAAAAATTCAGCAAGCTACCTCACAAACAATTGAATAATTTATCAACAATAATCTTACACACACAAATTCTAATCATCAAATTTGCCTATGGAATCTACAGATTTGATAAGTTTGATTTATTATACAATTGAAATCATATGTGCATTGTAAATTGAAGATCATTACAGAAAGTCATACAGTATAGCCAATTGGGCCTAGATTCACAAACACATAACGTAAGTTACAATCAAATTCCTCATAAGTTGCCAGATAGAAAAAGTAAAGTATTCTATTCACAAAGCACCTCGTAAGTTACAATATTATAAATACTACAATATCTAACAGCTCTTGTAAGCAGATTTACTGAGAAAGCTGGTGTCCAAGTATTTGGCACTACTGATAGATAATTCAGTCAATTCAGTTCATTTTTCCCAATTGTTTCTTAAATGTTTCTGATTCAAGACTTCTAAGATGTTATTGAATGTTGAAAAAAAATTGATAGAATTCTTCACAATGGAATTAAAACTATAGAATGCCATGAAAAAAAAATCTCATTCATTATAATTATTGTTGTTTTATCATTATTTTTAAAGAAAAATTAGTTTGTTAAGCATTTTAACAAATTTAACCAAAACTATTAGTTGTCGATTTCTTTAAAGTTCTTCAATATTTCTATTAATATAACTAGCAGTATCAATTTTGGGCAGATTTCATTCCATGCAATAGATTGGTTACAGTTTTCAATAGAAGTGAATTTTAGGTATTATCTATTATATATATAAATAATTTAACTAAAAGTAATTCCTACTCATTTTATTCTAACAAAATAAAAATGTTATATTCCCTCAGACATTGAAATATGTGAAGTGAGGAAATTCTGAAAATATGTCACCACAAAACACTTTCCTATTGGCTATTAAAACAGAAGTGATACTTATGTCATGTCATAAGATGTGCTTGTTATCAATTTCTTCTGTTTTGTCACAAATGATGTGAAGTCTTTGTAAATATGAAATGCAAAATATCATTAATTTCTAACAATTTTACAATATTGGAGAGATACTATGTCATATGAATTGTTCAAGGACTGCTGATGGTATGAACGGTGAAAAAGGAGGACAAATGCTAAGTTTTTTCTTTGTAAAAGTCATATTTATATTTATTAAAACTATGTCATATCTTATGAGATGTTCTTAAATCCAGGCCCTGCAGATTGAGAGTCCAAAATTACAGGCCTGCATTGGTGGCAATACAAAACAACATAAAATAAAAATTATAAAAACCTGCTAAAATTTTAGGAATTAGCAATTATATAATTGAAGTAATAAATAAACAACTTACAATATTAATAATCAAGAACAATATAGTATAATGTAAAAAAAATGGCAAAAAATTTATTTAGAATATCAAATTTGAAATCCAGAGAGATGATCTTAAGCTATCTAAGATTTTTTAAGGATTGATTTTATTATTATTAATATTGTAAAAACAAAATTAAATACTTACAGCACATATTCCAACAGCAATCAAAACAGCTTCAGAATCATAAAAGCTGTAGAGAGGTTTTGATTATTATAACAATATCTAAGTATAAATAATAATCAATATAAAAAAAAAGTAAAGATTTCAACTTGTTAAACATTATTACTTATTGTAATAGAGCAATAATAATTTAAAAATTCAGTATCTGTATCTTATATTTTTACACAGTAATTGTCACCTTTCTGGACTTATGGCACAGTTGAAAGAAAAAAAAAACTTGTGTGAAAGTTGCACCACATTATTATTAAACATTGTTTAATAACAAAGCAAACTGAGCTTTCTAAGATAAAAAATTTGACTAATTTTATGTGTTACACATGTTACTATCAACGTTAATTCATGGTCACTTTAATTAACCTTCTTTCTTCCATTTCAATATTTCATTACATATTTTAAGACAAAACTTTAACTTCTTAACTTTGTCTATTGTTTTAAATGTTGAAGCTCCAATGAAAAATCATTTTATTACAATTTTCATTGCAATATTTTTTAGTCAAAAATTTAAATTAAGGAATTTGTCGGATATTTAGTATCTATTATATTAGAAATAATAAAATGTGTAACAAAAATACTTTACCTTGCAGCAGATCCAAGAAGAAAAGACTGTAGTAGTGTCTAAATAAAAATGTTGAATTTAAAAAATTTTTAATTATGATTATAATACACAAATACACAAAAGTCAAACTTTTTATAACTACAAGTGTCCCTTGCTTGACACAAAATTTGATTAATGCACGAAATTAATTGTGGCAATCCCCTTATATACATGGAAGAAGTTTAATTAACATGGCCTTAACAGCTGCCTATATTCAATATATATAAAGGTAGGCCTCCTACAAAGCGGTAGATACGTTCCTTGAAAATACCACGTTGTGGGAAATCGCGTTATAGGAGACACCAACTTAATACAAAAACTGGGATTCGGTTCTAAAAAGAGAAAAACTTGGCATTTGAATGGCATTTTTTGAATTTTCCAAACCAGCCATTGCTAGCCACGAATTTAACACTGGTTTTATCAGCTGACGACTGTCCCATTTGTTTTAAATAATCAAATATTTTTAAGGCTTTGTGTTTAAGTGCAGTTTTATTTAAAGGCACCCGTTTCCTGTTCATATCTTCTACCCATAATATTAGCGCTTGTTCCATTTTTTTCATTATAGGTGCTCTCGGACGAGCAACATTTTTCGCAAGAATAGATGATCCGGATGTGACCAAATTTCTTATCTTTTCTCCCGATTGCTTAATCAACCAAATAGTCGACTCATTTAAATTAAAATGCCTATCAATATTAGCTATTCGCTCTTGATTTTTAATTCGATCCAAAATTTCTATCTTTGTTTGAAGAGTTATAAATTTCCTTTTTAATGACGGTCCTTTCTTTTCATTCGGCATTGTTATGGCTAAAATTTTTTCATTCAGTTTTGTGGACAGTAAAAATCGCAAAAAATAACTTCCTTTCACTATGTTGTTAAAAATATACACCCAATAGAAGTTTATACTGTATTTTGGACCATTTTTGCAATCCCCACTTATTGAAAGAGTAATTTAAATTTAATTTATTATAATATCTAGTAATATCTTATCTTATATCAAACTTTATTAGTAGAAGGCTAACTGCCTGTTACAAAGGGAGTACTACACATTAAGTTTATCATCAGTATCATTACAATTACAATTAATTAAACATCAAAAAATTAAACATCAAAAAACTTCTTAACATAATTATATAATTTGAAAATATTTTTTTGTGTTGCATGATGGAACATCCCATACATAGCTTCCACCGATTCACATTTGCTAAAGTCTACAAGNCAATTACAATTAATTAAACATCAAAAAACTTCTTAACATAATTATATAATTTGAAAATATTTTTTTGTGTTGCATGATGGAACATCCCATACATAGCTTCCACCGATTCACATTTGCTAAAGTCTACAAGATCATATCTCTGTCTCAAATCTAGGCTCTTCTCACATTCACAAATCAGGTGAAATTTAGAAAATGACATATGACATCTTGGGCATAGATTATTCTCATATATATACACTTTATTATATATCACCAGTGAACTAGAATTGAGTCGAAGTTGTATAAACAGTCTCTTCATACAAAATGGTGCGCTCGAAAATATATAGCTATTATTACTTGGATATAATAATATTGAATTATAACGATTCAATAATATTCGTAAGCGAGTATCTTCTATATCTCGCGATAGTGAAATTTCTAGTATATTCCGAATTAGTTGCTGATAACTTTCTTCTCCAAGTTCCGGCGAAAATATAAATGGTTCGATCGAACTGCCATAATCATTAATTATTTTAGACAGATTTAAAATCCAATTCCTCTTGGAAAATTTTTTAATGGAATTTTTGTATAATTGATTTAGGAGGTTAAACATAAATTCACCGCCATCTCTTATCTTAATTAACAACTTTATACATCTTTTAACAAAGAGCACAATAAGACTAAATCTGCTTATCTCCAATCTCAGTATACAACCCGGAGTTTTATAATCTAACTAAAACAGCCTCCGTATAAATTTATTTTGGATAGTGTCCAGTTTTTGAACGTTGGAGAGACACCATATAGGAAAAGCGTAGTTTACTGAGTTAAAAACCAAGGACTGAAATAACTTAAACTGCGTTTGGATCGTACCCACGCCAGACCTAGCAAACAGCTTCGAAATACCTTGGATTAATCCATTAGATTTAGTCATCATATTTTTAATTTGACTCTCAAAGGAAAGTAGTGATGAAAAAATCACTCCTAGAAATTTAGTTTCATTGACTATACTAATTTCCATATTGTTAATAAAGAATGACATATGCTTCTTAGGCAATCTTGTTCCATTCCTGAATATCATTATGTGAGATTTCTTAGGATTAATATTCAAGTCCAATTGAGAAAAGTATGCAGTTAGTAAGCGTATCTTTCTTCTCAGGGCAACCGCCGTTGGTGCTATAATAACGATATCATCGGCGTACGAGATAGAGTGAACTATTGTATTACCAATCACAAATCCATCATCTTCATTATCAAAAATATCATTAATATCAAAAGTATAAAAATTAAATAAATAAGGCGACCAAGGGTCTCCCTGTAGCAACCCTCGTTCTATCAAATGGAGACAACCCTGACCTCTACAAATGGAGACAACCCACTTATCTCTACAGATCATCTCATAGTGGCCAAACAAAAGACCTACCAACTTAACCAAACGTCTATCAGCTTTATATTGTAACATTTTATTTTGTAAGGCTCGAACATTCACGGAATCATATGCCTTTTCGAGATCAACAAACAGGGCGTACACTTTATGTCTTTTTTTGTTTAACTGCAATTGAACAATGGCCAACAAAACAAACAAGGTTATCTGAGTACCTCCATCCGATATAAAAGCATACTGGGTTGGATTAATCAAACTCTCCTCTTTGATCCATTCAATAAATCTTTTCGATATCATAGCGGTAAACAGTTTGCGAAATGTCGAAAGTAAGGCTATCGGCCGGTAATTTGCTGGACTGACCCTGTCTCCTTTCTTATACACCATTCGAAATATCACTTGATTCCACGACTTAGGAATTACACCTATTACATAAAATCTATTATACTGCCTAACAATATATTTTAAAATTGTCATAGGAAACAATTTCAGTATTTTATTAGGAAATCCGTCATATCCCGGGGCCGATTTATTTTTGAGCCTCTTGATACATAATTGAAGTTCTTGAATATTAAATATCTCTTCCATTGGTGTCAACCCAGATTCTTCCATTTTTTCCATTCTAGTATTAGCCAATTTCTCCTTATATCTAATCGAAAATCTATCAAAATATTTGTTCCATTCATCTATTATTGAAAGAGTATAAATGATCGAAAATTTAATGATATATTTGAGTGTTTACAGTAACTGATGCATATCTGTCTAGAAACCGGTCTTTCTCTGAAACTTTCAAGGGAATAACACACCAACGTCGATAAACAGCTGTTTTCAAAGACTTTTAGCTCTGTATACCGAACTGCGGCTCGTATCACGTGATAAATTGCGATTTTTCTGTTATGTGAAGATAATTCGTTTCTAATTACCGTAAACTGTGTTGTAAAAAAATTTCCGCATTTTTCCAACCATGTTGGAACGAAAACGCGTTGTAAAGGTATCGTGTTGTAGGAGGCCTACCTGTATATATATTATTTCCCAGCAAATAAGGTGTTGGCGAATTTGCTGTTTTCGTGCTGAGGGTGATTTCAAATATAGATATGTAGTTTAATTATAATAGTTGTAAAATTGAACACATTACTGCTAATGTAATATTTTAATCTTTGTTTAGAAGCACTTATTTTAAAAACTTTACTTTGTAAAAACAATAAAACTATACTGGAACTAGAATAATTATAAAAATACCATCTATTTTAATCATCCAGCAAAAATATTTAATAATGTAAAAATGTTTACAACCATTTTTAACAGCCTTCGTCAGTTAAAAACAATTGTAAACGTTTTTACATTATTAAATAGTTTTGCTGGATGATTAAAAAAGGTGGTATTTTTTATAAAACTTTACTTCTCATTTTGTTTGCATAAAATCAAATTGAAATGTCTGCAGATAAAAAAAATCTCCCGATATATCTTTTATGAAACTTAAAAAAGATCCTTAGAATGTATAACACTATGCAAACAGTAAAAAATACTTGTAGTATTTATGGGGAAGATGCTCCTAAATGTCAGACATGTCAAATATGGTTTTGAAAGTTTCATTTTGGAAATTTTGAACTAAAGGATATACAAAACGTATGGGGTGCCCAAAAGATGTTGATAATGAGAAACTTCAAGAAGAAATTCTTAAAAAAAATCAACAAATAACTCTTACACTTGCAACAAATCAAAGTGTGTCACCAACAAGATGATTGTGTTCCATATGCAGTAAGTGGGGAAAAAACCTGGATTGAGTATAATTTTGTCTGACAAAGATAGCAAGCTCTAAGGGTGTAACTATGAAGGCACGAGCGAATGAATTTACTAAACAATGTGCAAGTGAGAGAGAATATGTAATGAGAAGAGGTAATGATATTTCTTGCTCTGGTACAGTATGACTACACCAACAGGAGAAAGTGGTGGTGACATCACATGTTCATGTTGAACTCATCAGAGAAGTGTGAATTATTGCACTGTATGAAAGTAAAAATTAAAATGGTTCAACTATGATGCTTACTACTAGCAAAGAAAAACTTTTGTTATTTAGATTACTTCATAATGAACACACACACAAAAAAGAAAATATGGTGTTCCTCCTCTTTGGAAACAGCAAAAGAATAAAGAATTTTATTATAACTTGTCATTAAAACAGAATTTATAATGACTATGTATATCTATAGTTTGAAAAAAAAATCTTTTTATATATACAATAGATGAAAGATATGAAAAGTCATCTTCTCATGCCAAGGCACATACACAGTATTCAGCAAGAAGACGCAAGATGTGATAAATATCAAACCCTATCAGATATTTGCAAGAGTGAAAAATTTACTCTCGCCAGTGAGATTTCTCCATTGCAAGAACTATATTGCTCACAACCTCTTGTATGTTACTAAATTCATGTCTGCATAGTCACAATCTAAGATTTCATTTTATTTTTATATTACTTATTTTTATCATAGAAAACATTTTATGGATGACAAAATTAAAATATTTTTATTTATTAACTGAAAATTTGTTCTAGCAGGGTCATGATTGTTTGGTTGAGTACTGAGATAAAGTACAGTGGTGCCTCGTATAACGTACGCCTCGAATAACGGACGCTGCGAATAACGGACTTTCTGTTTGACCGTTACGTGACTCGAGCAACGGACTGGCTGCGAACAACGGACTTTCCGTTCGGCAGTTACGTGAGGCGAACAACGGACTTTCTGCGAACAAGTGCGAATGATGTTTCCACTCTTTTGCCGTTGCCAATGACAATCTGCTATTTTTATAATATATTAGTATTATTAGAATATATTATTAGTATATCTGAAGTACAGAGCTCCCGTTGGGATTCGGCTTGCTCCCTTGTTTATTACGTACATCACCTCAGTGCAGGGTATTTACATTTATTCAAGTGTTGTGCAAATCATGGCTTCTAAAAAAACAGAAAGGTGATTTCAATTGAAACAAAGCAAGAAATCATCAGGAGTGAAAGTTGACAAAAACTTTCTTGTCGAATGGGGAGAGGTTCAGGAGTTTACCAACACTCATTATCCAAACAGAGCTGAGGCCAACAGGATCAATGATCTCTACAATGACACCCTTGCCCGTCATTTCCGACAGGTGTTGAAGAAGAGAGAGAAACAGACCACCTTGGACATGTTTTTCAAGAAGCCAGCTGCCAAAAAACAAAGGATGGAACAAGAGAAGTTGACCCTGCAAGTTCCGGTAGCCTCTCCTGAATCTGACTCCGATTAAAAAACAATAAAAAAAGACCCACTGCAATGTGTAAAAAGTCTGTATCTGTATGAATGTGTAAAGAAAGTGTTCTTCCACCTCCTCCTCACAACATCTGACTACCCGGCTTAATTGGTGTCTGCACCATTTTCATTTTTTATGGTACAGTACGGTTATTTTATGCTGCGGAACGAATTATATGTTTTAACATGTATTTCTATGGGAAAATGCGTTTCGTATAACGGACGTGCACCTGGAACGGATTAAGTACGTTGTACGAGGCACCACTGTATTTTATTAACACAATTTTCACATACACGGTAACATCAAGGGATTAATCAATCATGTTAAATCAAGGAATATCTATATATTATATATTAAAATAAATTTTTTGACTAAATCATTGTCTCTCTATTTCACAGCACACCAAAAAAAAACTTTTATACATGAAAACATCCTGCATCCTCTTACTGAAAAAATTTAAATTAGTTATCCACAAAAAGCTCATACATCAACTCTGAGATAGAGGACATTTGTTGCTTGAATATTTTCCATAAGGCAACATAACCAATGCAAATGTTCTATTGTGATTGCTTAGGAAAGTAACAGAAAAGAAAAAATATTTGAAGTAATTCTCTTGTACAAATAATACAAGATCTGCTACCCTCAAAACAAAAAAAAAAAAAACTTATCAAAATCAAAGATGATATGAAATTAGCTATATGCTAAATCCACCAATTTCTTAAATCCTGAGCTTTCTAAAAAAAAATCAAAAATGATAGCAAAATAAAGTGTGCTCAATTGGTTCAAAATTTCTACAACAGAGTTCTGCAATATTGGTATCAAAGAACTGACTCTGCAATGGACAATGGCTTCATTAGAAAAGAAAATTATGTAGAAAAATAAAATAGGGTTCACATTTTACATATTTTTATGTTCATTAAAATTTTTCTAACAACATATATTTTTTTTGTTTGCCTTTGTTACCTTATTGCCTTACTATTATTGACTATTATATAATAATATAAATTATCTGAAACTATTCAGTATATATAAAATTGTTTATTTCAAAAAAAAGTTGTTATTTTAAAAAAATTGAACTATTTCTTGATATTTCATATTTAAAATATGATATATAATTAAGAAAAAAGATTTCAATCATTAACAGATATATATTTAATCCTCTAAAATGCATTATTATTCATACTTACGAATAGCATCAAACAGATTAAGTTAACTGGAAAAGTTCTTCTCACATTATCACAACAAACCAGTACCAACATAACAACAAAGAGCAGAGCACTACAAAAAAGTAATTGGTTTACACTTGCATTTTATATTTTAAATAATTAACAAAATTTGGTTATATTAAAAAGTTTAACAGTGAAACTTTTAAAAATAAATTTACTTAAACAATTAAAAAAAATGTATTCTGTTTTTCAATAGCTGATGATGGCCTAATAAAAGTTGAAAACATTTGTAGATTAAATGAGTGACTTCAAAGTCCCCAATAAGCATACTGTGTTTGTCAACTTTACATTTAAAAAATTATAATTTCAATATTTTTAGAGAGACTGTACTTTCAAAAAGATAAATTCATATAGAAAAATTTTTTTTCAAAAATCCCATTCCATTATATAAATTCAATTTTTAAGTTTCAATAACTGTAAATAGAACATTATTCATTTAAATGACCTTTTTATTTCATGTAATGTAAAAACTAAGTTCTCAGATATGTTTAGATTAATTCAAAATAACAGTATTCATTTCATCAGAAAAAAAATCATTTTTAGTATTTTTGCCACTTATCTTTTTATACTATTATTTTCAAAATTTTTAAAATTATATTTCAAAATATAGAATATGTTTTTGATTTAAATATAGATATATGAATTTAAAATTATAAAGGAAAATTTGTTCTAAATTCCTACTATACAATATTCATCCATATTTCATTCTGCTTGTAAACAAATTCATGTACAGTAGAGCGTCAATTATCCAAAACGTCAATTATCTGAAAGAATTCCAGTTGGCAAATTTAAATTTTCGCCAGTGCTGTGGCGCTGCAATCTTTGGCTATGTCTTGGGCTACTCAAATATTTTACATTTTTGATACTAAATTAACTTCTGAAGTATCATTTTTTATTGTTTTTATATTTTTCAATATATTTATTTTGTTTGTACAAACTAAAAAAATAATTTTTAATGATACAATAGTCTTCGTTAGGCTTAACATCGACAAAAATTCAACGCAAAGCGACATGCAATGGAGAAAAATTTCAACATGGGATAAATTAATATATTTTTTTGTACATAACTGGTTATCCGAAATATTGATTTTCCGAACAACCCCAGTCCCCAATTGATTCGGATAATTAACGCTCTACTGTAATTGAATTCTTCTATTCATTGGTTACAGGGCTGAGTAGCTTTTGGAGCTTTTGACTGCAAAATAAATTAATTTTTTATTTGAGATAGTCACTTTGTCAAATTTAAATACTCTGTTTCTTTGAGAATTTGGTGAAGATACAGAAAAAAAAATATAAGCCCAGAAATAGTTTCTGCTGCAGTAAGCATGAGTTAAATCAAAATATCTTCCTGTTTTAACCTTAATGCAATAAGCAGAATAAAAGTTGCTTCATTTTGGATATTTATTAGTTTAAGTGTGAATAATGCTGTATGTTGGAATTCAATTTTTTAGTATTATGAAATGTATTGATGCTATTATACTGTATTTTGAATATAATTACATTGTATTGTGGTTGTTCAAACTGGCAATTTCTGGTATATTGTACAACATATCTGGCCTTAATGTAGCATCAAGTAATTGATCTATTGGAGTGTTGCAGTTGCTAGTGTAGAATGTGTTATTCTTCTGTTGTTTTTCAACAGCATGAAGATGGAACTAATAAATTATTAGTATGTAAAAGCAACATTCATATTATTGCATTTCCTATTGTTCACAAAATACTTCCTGGAATTCAACATTCATGATGTGCAACAATTTCAAAAGATGAGTACACAAATAATTGGAGATTTGCCTTAAAATGGTAAATTAAGATAAATACTTATTGTGTTCATTAAAAACTTGTTAATTTACACATCAAATGCAAGTAAGTGTGAGCCCTCATCATATAAATACACTATTATTAAACATTTAAATAATCATGAATATTTTGAAATTTTTGCTTCAAAATAAAAACTTTATTAAAATTATATATTTTGATATATATATATATACTTATAAAATCAAACATGAAGCAAACTTACAATGCAATCCAAAATACTTCTGTATGTGTTGCAACATAAAACTTTAGGTCTTCCCTAAAATAAAATATAAACTTAATTATATCAAAATCATTTTCTTAAGTATTCTTATAAATTAAAAAACAAAATTTATTTTATCAGAGCTCTATCATATTACTGATAAAAGTCAAAAGAAAAATCTCATTTTTATTTTATCATATTCTAACTTACCTAAAATAGTAATGAATAAAGTGCAGAGACTTCTCAAATTACATAAGTACACGATTTTAAAACAACACAATAAACACACTTGATTTGAAAAAAAAAAAATAAATCAGTACACATTATTTAATGTACACTGATTTATTCTGTACCAATCATTTTTAAATTTCATTAAATGTCCAAAGAATAAAATTCAACTCAAATTCTCTTGATGTATCAGATTTGGAGGGATCACAGTCATGAAGTTCCCAAAAAGCTTTCTCTAACCAACTTTCATTCATTACTTATAGTGAGAAATTTCTAATTTAAAATCTTTCAAAACATACAACTATTGAATTAAAGCTAAATTAAACATAACAAATCTCTCATCTGTCTGAATTAGCTCTTCATTTCAACTAATCATTTGTGTGTGTGTGCAAAGAACACAATCACAGCATTTAATATTAGTTTAAATAAAAAAGTTTAGTTTATATTAAGCAAAATTTAGAACACACAGGATTTTTCATTCAACCTANTTCTACATTTATTGTATTCTATTTTGGAACACTTTGTAATTAGGTGTTTCAAAACCAGTAACCTGAGGATGGCCTATGCATTAGACTGTAAACATTAGTGTAGTGTATGAGCAAATAACTGTCTCAGCAGTCAAAAGTGTTTAGTGATGATTTTAGTAAGTTTTCATATAATTTAACAAAGGGGGAGGAAAGTCTTTGCATTGGATAGGAGACTAAAAGAAACCAATTTTAACTCACCAATCAGATTAATGTCTGAACAACTGACAAAAAACTGACAAAGACAATAAACTTAAAGAATAGTTTTTATGGGAGTAAACAATTAAGTTTGACTTTTGAATAATAACCTTTGGTTATTTACAAAATACACATACAGATTTAGTTTTAAGTTTTGGTATACAATTTTTCTGACATTCAGATAATTACATATTAATGAAGAAACAAAATAACACAGATTGTATGTACTTTACTATAATTTTTATTACAAACTTCATTTCCAATCCTTTGATGTGATATTCTGCTTTTTTTGTAATTTAGAGAAAATTTTTTTTGGTACACAATATTAGCTTTTTATATAAACAGACAAAACTTTAAGCCAATATTTTAGAGGTGGATTCTAGGATCAAAAATAAGCTTAAAGTCCTCTATAAATGCCTGCCAAAATTTCTTTTGGAGAGTCTGATATAATTCTTCTTTATTCCTAATTGCATGTTTTCATAAGGTATTTTACACATACCTGATTTCTCCTCTAACATATCTTTGTCATTCTTCAATATACTGTAAATGCTGTATTTAGTTCTCTTTTGAAAATAGTTTAGAGACATTATGGTCTGTCATTTCTTTCATAACGTTCATGTTCTTGTTAAAAGTACACTTTGTGATTGTATTGTCTCCATTTTGAGTCTTTTGTCTGTTTCCTTCATAGCCTCTAATCAGTCCTGTTATCATGCTAGTTTTGTATTGGATTTTAGCCACTTCTTTAATTCTACTAAGTGCCTTCATTTTGTCATATATACTTCTGCAATACAAATATGCTCTTATAATAAAGGCTTTGAATGCTGCCAATTTGTATTGATAGTGGTCATCTGAATTAGAAGGGATACAGAGTGGGCTGCATGTTGGTTTAATGTATATATTGGTGAATAAATTTCCTCTTTTAAGTTCAATGTTTATGTCTAGAAAATGTATCTTTTCCAAATGATACTGGTTGTTAAAACCAGTCATTTAGACAAAAACTGATTCATAGCACACTGAGTTGGCCAACTCTATAATCTCTTTGGAACAGTTAATTCTGGTATCTGGAGGATAATAAATTCCATTAACTCTTGAAAATATGATTCTATTCTTATCAAAAGGACATTATGGTCATGAGTTCTTCTTTTATTAACACTAGGTTTTTTAACTCTCTAACTATTTTTCCTAGGTCTTGTGCAACCAATATATTATTCTCTAGTCTGTTAATTATGAACATATGTAAACATTTCTCCATAATATATGTCAGCCCCCTGCATTTTTTTATTACTGATCTAACTTCTTTACCTTCCTTATGCGTTTTAGTGAATGTAAATAACCTTGGCATCCCCATCTTGATTCTGGCACCTTTAAGGAAAGTTAATACTGAAGTGAGCTTAGTTCCTTCAAGTCTTAATTCTTCTATCAAATGTTCTCTACACTTTTTCTATTAACCTGTTTGCATTTGTTTTTCTAATACAATTGTCTAAGGCTTTGTTGTAGGATTATCTTATAATAACTAAGCACTTATTTTTATGAACAGACCATAAAGTCTTTGAACTAATTTTTAAAAAAGTGCCAAATATTTACAGTATATTGAGGAATAACAAAGATACATTAAGGAAAGAAAGCAGATATGTACAAGATACCTTATGAAAATATGCAATTAGGAATAACTAAGAATTATACTGGACTCACCAAAAGAAACTTTGGGGTTAGACTTAAAGAGCATCAATACAGTAGAAAAAGAGACTTTGCAATGCAGTACTAGTCCAGATGTCATAAGCTGTAGATGCTACAGTAAAATGGGATGGGACAGAGATAGTTAAGACTTTACACTCCTCAACATTGGCACTAAATGCTGAAAACAATTGAAATATGTAAGAGCAGGTTGGAGGACAAATATATTAATGCAAGGGATGTGGACAGTTTACCATCAGCATGGTAAACTGTCCACATCTTGTGAAAAAAAGAAGCTTCTTTATAGAAACTCCTAGTTATCACATTTGCTGAGATATATTTTTGTATTTGTAAAAACAGAACTAGAATTGTAAATTTTATTTTATTTCATTTCTATGTTAAAAGTAACATAAAAAAATTAAAAATTCTGTTAAAATTTTAATTTATATTATGTTGAATTGGAATGTTACATTTATATTCAAATATTCAAAATTTATTGTTCTAATATTCTACATTTATTGTATTCTATTTTGGAACACTTTGTAATTAGGTGTTTCAAAACCAGTAACCTGAGGATGGCCTATGCATTAGACTGTAAACATTAGTGTAGTGTATGAGCAAATAACTGTCTCAGCAGTCAAAAGTGTTTAGTGATGATTTTAGTAAGTTTTCATATAATTTAACAAAGGGGGAGGAAAGTCTTTGCATTGGATAGGAGACTAAAAGAAACCAATTTTAACTCACCAATCAGATTAATGTCTGAACAACTGACAAAAAACTGACAAAGACAATAAACTTAAAGAATAGTTTTTATGGGAGTAAACAATTAAGTTTGACTTTTGAATAATAACCTTTGGTTATTTACAAAATACACATACAGATTTAGTTTTAAGTTTTGTAGTATTTTTAATATTTATCTGTATATATATTAAAAGCAAAATGTTCAGTCGCTGCCACACAAAATTTAAAAATTAATTTGATCTGAAATTTGAAAATTTCAAAAACAACTTTTAAATGGTTTTTAAAAACTTAATTTTCAACTGATTTGATTTTAATTAGTTTTGATTTTATTTTTGGTTTCAGTGTAAAGGCCAGAGTTTATTATTTTATTATTTTAAAATTTTATTCATTATTTTTAGTTTTAATTAATTTTTCATTTAATTTATTTAATATTAATTTAGTTTAAGTTTTCATAATTTTTAATAATTATTTAATTTTGCCTGCATTTCTTGAACCATTAATTACAAATTTTAATTAATTGCAATTCTTTTTCTTTTGTGACATAACTATAGAAATTGTTTTAGTGTTGTTTTGCACAAAAATAATCAAATTTAAAATTTATTTTAATATTTTAGTAATTTCATTTTTTTGTTTATAAATTTGCCTGCTTTCTAAAAAATGTTTAAAATTTTAATTTTAAGTGAGTTAACATTAATTGAACTGTTGGACTACCTAGTATATTATAATACAGTAAAGTGTTGATTATCTGAATCAATTGGGAACTGGGGTTGTTTGGAAAATCGATTTTTCGGATAACCGATTATGTATGAAAAAATGCATTATTAGTATATTAGTATATCCTATGTTTAAATTTTTCTCCGTTGCATGTCACTTCACTTTGAATTTTTGTCACTGTTAAGCCTAATGAAAATTTTTATAATATAAAATATTTTTATAATTTAAAATTTATATAATCATGATTATTGTATCATTAAAAATTATTTCTTTATTTTGTACAAACAAAATAAATATATTGAAAAATATAAAAACAAAAAAAAATTATACTTTAGAATTTCATCTAGTATCAAAAACATTCAATTCAGCAGGACACAGTCCGATTGGAACACTTTCAGTTGATCAGCATTCAGATAATCAATGCTCTACTGTAGTATAATGTGAAAGAATAAATAGATACAAATTATATATATAATTTGTATCTATTTCCTCATACAATATTTGAAAACAACATTAATAAGGATATATTTGAAATATTATTTAATATAACTAATAACAGTGAAAAAACTTTGATAAATTAAATATTTACCCATTCGAACTGCTTTTTCAGAAAATGCATTTTCAAGATCAGCAAAAGGCGTTGCTTCATTATAAGAATTATAGCTTGTATTATCCATTATTCCTGAAAGTAGTAATAATAATTATTTTTATAAAAAAAATTGAGTTTATTTATCCCAGATAATTTTGCATTTCTCAAAGCTTTTCAGCATTAAGGATTATTATAAAGCAAATTTCTTAATTACATAAAATATATATATTACATTTCTACACATTTAAAAGTTTTACTTATTGATGAGAAAAAATTACATAAAAATTCACCTTAAATTTAAATGTGGCAAATTAATGGGACGGCAAATTCAGCTGTTTGATGGGATAAGGCAATACAATATGGGCTACATGTCAAAGGGATTGT